TAAATGGTTTCTGTGAAGAAAATAATAACTTCTTATCAGTGAATGAGCCTCAGCAAATACATATGGGCCGTGTCTCTGGGTGGGAATTGAGTATAATACAAATAACTATTCTTTATAAATTCATGTTTTAACTTACAGTGATTTTAGTTAGAATCTTGGTTTTGTGGAGATATTTGGCAATATGCTTTTAAATTTCCTGAGGGGGGAAAAATAAGTGTTTTAGAATAGACAAGAAACAACTGAAAAAGTATGCCTTTCCAAATATTAAAAATTACTATCAACTGACAGTAATCAATGGTTGTGTTGATGATATAGGCCTAGATAAATCAGAGGTAGAGAATAATGAGCCCCTAAAAAGATCTCTGTGCACCATGTATCAGGGAATCTCAGAGTATGATAGGAGTATCATATTCATTTGATAAGAAATGGATGATTTATTAAATAAATAATGGTGGCAAAACTGGTTATCTTTCTGAACAAAACCATCATCATTTCCCTACTGCACATTACATACAAAAATATATTTCAAATAAGTTAAGGCATTACATGTAAAACTTGACAAGATAGTTCAGTTGAATATTTTTGTTACCTGGATGTGGGAGAGACTTCCTGTAAGTGGGGTATAAATGGAGGTAATATATTTAGCTACATTTAAAGGAATCTGTCGGCATAAATCAAAGAATGTGTACAGAGCTCAAATAAAGTAGTTAAACAAAGGAAAACACAACTAGAAATAAAATGAGCAAGATGTGAATAGATAACTCGTTGAAGAAGAAATATGAATTACCAACCTTCATATGCAGAGATATTTAACTTCCTTAATACTCAGTACACAAATTGAAACAGCAATGAGATACCATTTTCCCCTAGTAGACAGTTTAAAAGTGGAATAATAGTTTCTATGAGGATTTGAGGAAAGGAGAATTTTATTACTATTGAATATTGCTACACCTATGTACCCATTCTAGAAAGCAAAATGGCAATTTTCATTAAAGTTAATAAACATATCATACCGTAACATGTAATGGTTTCTTGTGCATGCCAATTTGGCTAAGGTACAGCGCTCAGTTGTTTGGTCAAACAACAGTCCGGATGTTGCTGTGAAGTTATTTGTTTAGATGTGCTATGTACATTTAAATCCATATGCTTTGAGTATTCATAGCACGTGGGACTCATTCAAGCAATTGAAGGTCTTCAGTGTAAAGACTGAGCTTTTCAAAAGCATTTCTGCCTGAAGACCGCAATATCAGAACCCTGTCTGAATTTCCAAACTGCCAATTTGTCCTCTGGACTGCAACATCAACTCTCCCCTGCCAGCGGGCTCTACAGATTTCAGACCTGCTAGCTTCCACAATTGTGTGAGACAATGCCCTAAAATAAATCTCTCTCGCTCGCTCTTTCTCTCTCTCTCTGCCAATATATGTTTGTATGTATGTATGTATGTATGTACGTGCAAACATATATAGGCATAGAGAGAGAGAAATAGAAAATACAAATATATATGTATGTATGTGTATATTTATGTGGTTCTATTTCTCTGGAGAATCGCGGTTAATATGCTCTTACACCAGTAATAACATTTCTTAGAACTTATATTACAAAATAAAATGGTGTGCGTGTGTGTGAGAGTGAGAGTGTGCGTGACAGAGACAGACGTTGTATTATTTGTAGTGGCAAAAACTTCAAAAAACTTAAATGTCCTTCGTTGAAATGGATACAGAGAAAGTATAGGATGCTATGTGGTTGTTTAAAAAAAATAATGAGTTAGTTCTAAAATCTGTTGGAAATTTCAGTAATGTATTAAGTTGTATTAATACATTAATATATTAATGTATTAAGTTCAGTAATGTATTAAGTTTCCAAGTTGTAAACTTGGAAATTTCAGTAATGTATTAAGTTAGAATAGCAAGTTACAAAAGTATACATTTAACAGACTTGCATGTTTATTGAATAGAAGAGCAAATGTTTATATCCATCTGAGTAAGGGAAAACTATGGAACCGAATGTAAGAGTGGGCTGTTGGGCAATCGTCTGTAAAAGAGAGGGAATAGGAATGATTGATAATTCTATGAGTTTGTACACTTTTCATAAATGCATACATATATGTATATATTTACATTTGTGTGGGTTTTTTTTTTACAAAAAAATGCCTACTATTTTCTAATAGGCTTGTGTACATTTTCTACAGTAAATATTATTCCATAATTTTTAATAGCCGCATTTATTCCTTTGAATGGATATATACTTGCATAACTTGAAATTTTCATTAATATGTAGATTTAAAGGTCTTTGCAAATAATATTTTGTAGATATGTTAGTAAATGTATGTATGTTCTTTTCCATTGAAAAATTACTGTGATCGCACCTCTTTGAATTTTGATGTTCAATTCTGTATTTTTCTAATTGAATCCAGGCGATTAACAGAAAACTTTGAGGACTCAAACCTTTAAAAATTATCTGGTATTTTTATCAATAATACCTGTGTATTTAGTTGTAAAGTAATAATTCATCCAATAATGTATTTGCTATTTAATCTGACAGAAAAAAATTAATTTTTTGAAATTGCTGAAGTTATTGCCTGGGTCTTGAATCTTCAAACTTCAGGACGTTAAAATATTCTTTGATATATGATCTCATTTTTCCAGTGTTAAAAAAGGATAGAATAAAATTCTACTCCCTTAATTTTGGGAGAATAAAGGCAAGAGCTCCAGATACAGGGCACTGTATTGATACTTTGGGGGCGGGTCTTTTCTCTAATTTTCTAATATCGAGTTCTACCCACTGTATAAGAAATTCTGTCTTGGAGAACTAATCTGTTTTATTGTTTTAAGCTATACTGGGTTTTCTTTTTCAGATTTTTATAAATGTATTTTAGTTTTAAAAGTGGTTAGAACTTATATTTGGAGCTTATTTTGTATTGAAAGACGTCCTGATTGATATTATTTTTGTTCGGCAATGCATTTCCACCTTAGTGGCGTTCGTGCTGTTTAGACACGCCCACAGTGGTCTTGCCTCACTGAGCACACTGCCCCTGGGCCTTGGCACTTGATGTTTGCATGACAAGAACGTTTTTCTGAGATGCCCCTGTATTGTCCCTCCTCAGCAACGCTATCCCAGACCGCCTATGTAAAAAAGAGTTTCCTTGTACATTTTGTGTTTTGTTTCTGTATTATCAATCTCACTTATTAGAGACTATAAGCTTCATGGTATTAGGGCTTTTTTTCTCATCATAGGGCATACTGCAGATTACTGAACTGGTTTTCCTCTGAATATCCATTTTTTTCTATTAAACTGCATTAAATTTACTATCATCTTTTCTAAGATGTAAGTAGAAGTGTTAGTGGCTGAGCACTAACAATTTCTCTTGCGGCTGTTCCTCTGACTACACTTTTGTTACATTTGAAAATGAGCAGCAGTGACAAGTTCTTCTTTGCATGCTTCCCTGGGTGCAGTGTCCCCTCTGTTCCATTCTTCTTTCCACAGCCCTAGTACATTCGTCTCGTAGGTTAATGACAGCACTTTTGAGGATGGAGAATCCAGACTGAATGACCATATGCAGTGGAACTATCTTACCAGCCCAGCCCAGTCATCACAAGAGAGAAATAAACTCCTCCTTTAGCATCGTGTTTTCTAAATCATTATAAATTTTATTCTCTTCCTATATTTTATTCTAATTTGTAGATCATCAATAAAAATACTTTGCTTAAAGGAATAAATAGGTATGCCCACTTAACACATCTGAGGAGTGAGAGGGTGGCTTTCGCTGTTCACTTGCGTTTTACTTCTGCTATAGTAATGGTTACAGTAAACTTTCTATCTCCTTGACCATTTCATTCCAAGTGATTTTTCTTTTTTTTTTTTTTTGCAGTTTTGGCCAGGGTTGGGTTTGAACCCACCACCTCTGGCATATGGGGCCAGCGCCCTACTCCTTTGAGCCACAGCGCCGCCCCCAAATGATTTTTCTATTTCATAACGTGGAGTGGATGTTACTGATCTTTGGTAAATCATCTCCATAATAGCAACACACTTTATTTTGATCCTCTCTAACAAAGATTTTAAAGTAAATATTGGCTGTTAAATTATATCTGGTACCTTTTCTGTAGCTGTTTCTGTAACCATACTTTTTTTTTTTCCTTCACTAATTTGTTGATGTGATCAGTTTTGCATTACGTGGTGATAGTGTTACTGCTCTTTGCTTACATCACTGGATTATTTTCACTAACATTTGGAATTTTTCCATCTATATTGAAAGGTGAGTCTGATCTATAGTTTTCTTTTTATTGCCTGTTGGACTAGGAAGGAGTTCTAGTACAATACTGAATAGATTTGGTAAAAGAGGACATCCTTTTTTGTTTTAGATGTTGGAAAATATTTAGTGTTTCCTCATTAAATATGATGTTACCTTGTAGATGCCGTTTAATGGGTAATATTTTGGATATGCTGGATCAAGTAAAGCATAATATTAAAATTAATCGTATGTTTCTTCTCGCCTTTTTATTATAGCCATAGAAAATATGAATTATCTTGTGGCTTAATATTCTGCTGGCTCACACTGCTTTAGGGTGTTTCTTCTTGTATTTGTAATGCAGTGAAAATATTCTGTAGGGTAGAGGAATGACTTTTACCACAATTAAAGAAAAAAAAAAAAGGTTACTTCCTAACTGGAGAGAAAGAAAGAAAACACTTCACACTGTTTACTTTAAATTTCCAACACATAATTTTGTCATGTTCTCCCTTCCATTATATTTTAAAATGCATGCAGACGCAGAGCTGTTTGTGGATATACAGCAGCAGAAATTTCTCAGTGCTTATCCATCTCTGAGGGAATGTTCACGAACAAAACTTAGTCCCTAAATAGTATTATCTGGTAATCCGATGTAAACATATACAGCATTACATTACGCTTGCCATCGTGTTTTCTAAGATGTAAGTGAAATTATGGGCAATTTTCCTTTTTGTTGCAAAATGCTAATAAATAGTTTCCCCCTCTTTGTATTCAGCCCCTTTTTTGTGTATAAAAAACGCGAGGAAAAAATACTGAGAGACTTTGAGAGCAAATGGATTTTCGTCACCAGAGGATATGAAGATATGTTCCTTAAAGATATCTTTTTCAAGTCTGAAACGAATATAAAAGGAAAGCTTGCACGTTGGAAACATGTAAGCATAATTCATTTAGTACTCTTCTTAGAAATATTTTCATTTAAGATACTAGAATTATAATTTCTGTAGCATTAGTCTGAATTTATTCAATTCCTCTTAAATAGCCTTCGTGATATTATTAATATTCTAGTCTAAATTTTTTTGATATGGGAAAAGTCATATAACAATGTGGTGCAAGTGTAACTTTCTGGCGTGTTAATAATACACCACAACCATGTTATATGTGCAATTTGTGGTTTGTATTCTACATGTGAATATGTAGATATAAAATGTTATCTTAGTTACTGCAAGTAATAATAATGATATAAAACTACTTAGTGCTTGAAAATATAAAAAAGTAGGTTGATAAAGAGTGACAATTATATGTATAACATTTATTTTACGTTTTCTGCTAAATCATAAACTGCTTTGAGGACACAATGGAAGTAGAAAGAACTGTACTTACATTTATTGAGTGCCTACTATGTACCAGGCACTGTGCTAGATATCTTGCATGTGGTATGTCATTTATCTTCTATCACACCGTAAGATAGATATTTTTATCTCATTTTTATAAATAGGGACACTAAGGCTCAGAGAAGTTAACTTACCAAAAGCCACATAATAGCTTGGATTTGACGTCATATCTCTTAACTCCAAAGTTTGCTGTTTCTGTCTGTAGAGTTTTGTTTTGGTTTGGGCATTATGTAATAGCAGAAATGAAGACTTGGCATTATAGTAGAATCAACTCTGTAGGGGTCCTCAGACTTTTTAAACAGGGGGCCAGTTCACTGTCCCTCAGACAGTTGGAGGGCCAGACTGTGGGCCCCGGGACGAGTTGGCTGCTAAGCAGGACAGGCAGCGGTGACAAAAAATACCCAGTGGGCCGAATAAATGTCCTCAGCGGGCTGCATGTGGCCCATGGGCTGTAGTTTGAGGACATCTGAACTAGAGTGATCTCTTGATAATTTCTAAAGCACTGTGTTTGTGACAAATAAACTTCCTGCGTGGACCTGTTCAGAGTATCCTGAGCTACAAGTGTTTTCATTACATTAGCATGATGAGAAGGGACCACACAGTCCAGACTGTTGTCAGGCTGATTTCAGAGTGAAGGAGGACATGGATTCTAGAGTGAACACAGGAATGTCCTCAAGTCTATAAATACCACAAAAGTTACCCTCTGTGTGAAACATAGGTATAACAGGCACATGTATCCTGCTCGAAACTCTCCCTTCATCAGCACTCAGTGCCAACTGTATTAATTTGCTCCAGATGACGCAAACACTATACAATTATAAAAACCATGTGAAGTATCTTTGACTCCCTGCATAGAAGGTAAACTCAGTGATTTCAGAGCACACTGTCTGCTTTTTTGTATGCTTTATACGTACAGAAGAGAATACTTTCAATGAATGTTGTGTATTGATAACCAATTTGTTGTATGTTGATAATTAATTTGAATATGCTGATAACTAGTGTGTGTATAAATGTACACATATTGATATGTATATAGTGTTAAGGCAAATGACTTAAGTGCACCAAGACAAATCAAATATTCATTTTACAAAGTTTAATGATATGAAGCTATACAGGGGTTTCCAACATATATTTATTACAAAGACTTTTCTAGATATCTTTTATATTATTAATAATTCTGCTAACATTACTACTAATGTTACTTTTAAAAGAATTATCCTTCCAAAGATTTTAAATATTCATATTGTCCTTTGCTTTTCCATTGTTGATAGCTATCATTTATAGAATCTTATAGAAGTTGTCTTCAACTCAGTGTCATAAAGGTAACTGAAATTATTTTTAACAGAAACATTCATTTTTTGATGAGCCATTTGTTTTTCCATATAAATTAGCCTTCAGTCTTTTTTTTTCTGTGTATATTTTTTAATTGATTAGCATTTTTTTAAATTTTTTTATTAAATCATGACAGTGTACATTAATACTATCATGGGGTACAGTGTACTGTTTCTGTATACAATTTGAAGTACTTTCATCCAACTGGTTAATATAGCCTTCATGTCTTTTTCTTAGTTATTGTGTTAAGACATTTATATTCTACATTTAGAGAGATTCACATGTACCCTTATAGGATGAACCATCAGCGTGATCCTGCCAATCACCCTCCCTCCCCCTCCCCTTCCCTCCCTCTCCCCTGTCCCCATGTTCCTGGGTTAAAATTGGGTTATAGCTTTCCTATGAAAGCTATAAATTAGTTTCATAGTAGGGCTGAGTACATTGGATACTTTTTCTTCCATTCTTGGGATACTTTGCTAAGAAGAATATTTTCCAGCTCCATCCATGTAAACATGAAGGAGGTAAAGTCTCCATCTTTCTTAATGGCTGCATAGTATTCCATGGTGTGCATACACCACAATTTATTGATGCATTTGTGGATCAATGGGCTCTTGGGCATTGACCTAGCAATTATGAATTGGGCTGCAACGAACATTCTGATACAAATATCTATACTATAAATCCATAGTAATCAAACAGCATGGTATTGGCACAAAAACAGAGAGGTAGATGTATGGAACAGAATAGAGAACCAAGAGATGAACCCAGCTACTTACCATTATCTGATCTTTGACAAGCCAGTTAAAAACACTGAGTGGGGAAAAGACTCCCTATTTAACAAATGGTGCTGGGTGAACTGGCTGGCGACCTGCAGAAGACTGAAACTGGATCCACACATTTCACCACTAAGATTGACTCTCACTGGATTAAAGATTTAAACTTAAGACATGAAACTATAAAAATACTAGAAGAAAGTATAGGGAAAACACTTGAAGAAACTGGCCTGGGTGAAAATTTTATGAAGAAGACCCCCCAGGCAATTGAAGCAACATCAAAAGTACGCTACTGGGACCTGATCAAATTAAAAAGCTTCTGCACAGCCAAAATCACAGTAAGTTAAGCAAGTAGACAGCCCTCGGAATGGGAGAAGATATTTGCTGGTTATGTCTCCAACAAAGGTTTAATAACCAGAATCCATAGAGAACTTGAACATATTAGCAAGAAGAGAACAAGTCATCCTCTCTCAGGGTGGGCAAGAGATTTGAAGAGAAATTTCCCTGAAGAAGACAGGTGCATGACCTACAAACATATGAAAAAATGCTCACCATCCTTAATCACCAGAGAAATTCAAATCAAAACTACTTTGAGATATCATCTAACACCAGTAAGATTAGCCCATATCACAAAATCCCAAAATCACAGATTCTGGCATGGATGTGGAGAAAAGGGAACACTTCTACACTGCTGGTGGGATTGCAAACTAATACGTTCCTTTTGGAAAGACATCTGGAGAACACTTAAAGAACTAAAAATAGATCTGCCATTTGATCCTGTAATTCCTTTATTAGGTATATATCCAGAAGACCAAAAATCACACTACATTAGCCTTTGGTCTTATGAGAGCTTCATTTGTAGTCTCCTCTTCAGCTCCCTTAATTGACAGATTATGTTTTTCTCTTATTGTTCTTACCACTCACCGACCTATTTTCTTATGCTTTGAAGTTCGGGATTTAGAAACTGTAGTAAGGATGATTCTTACCTGAAGGTCCAAGAAAACTTACATTCTAAGGACAGTGAAAGGGTCAGGGAAAGGGGTGAGGGTGAGAAAACATCAGCATTTAATACTGACGATTTATTGTAAAACAACAAGCACAATAACAACATGCTGTGAGCAAAGGAACAGAAAGTGTTCACTAAGAATGGAATTCCAGGTTCCGTAATTAGATGACATATAATCAGTGTTAGAATCTGTTCCTGTTTGGGGAGGCAACATACTTCATCCAAAGGGATTCAAATCCCCCATATTCAGGGCAACCTAAATCTGAAAGAGCCCTAAGAGTGAGTTCAAGTTACAGTCACTAGGAAATGCCGTGTCACTAAACCAGAAGTTAAAAATAAACATTTAAAGTTTGTGGAGCAAGAAAAAACCATAAGTCTAAAGAAAGAAATCTAATAAAGGAAACAGGGTCAGAAAAACTGAAGATGTGGGACAGGAACCATTGCCAAGGACATTACTAACTGCTTACAATATTAGACATTGGTTTCTGCTCATGCAGATTAGGCTGTAAAAATTACAGAATTATGGTGGTTCAATGAAGTCAAGTTTTAGGGTAATATATACTATCATGATAAATTTTAGGGAAATTCAGGTACTTAGGACACCCAGGAATATTTAAAATCTGCATTGATGTTGCTTTTCCTCGGAGGGTACTGTGCTGAGGAAATCCATGCACAGGAGGAATGGCAAGATCAGCAGCTCCTCCCTGGGCTTTGACCTCAAATTTCTTGTAAATTTATAGTAGCCTAGGCTGGACTAAGAGATGATTTCTACATTACCTATGATTTTTTTGGCATGAATTGTCTTCTTTCATTTATTTCCTATATTTCAGGCATAAATTTTAGAAGACATATAGGGTGAGAGAGTCAACCCATTGGAGTCAAAAGCAGTGAGATTTGGGGGAGAGAGATTACCTTAATATTTAAGTGAGAGGCAGCCTAACAGCCCTTCTAACTGAACCTCTACTGACACCCCCTCTCAGTACCCTGAGGCTTCTTCAGCTGATCTAGGTGTGATGGACAGACAGCATGTGTGAGGTCAAAATGTGATGACCAAGAACCTTTACTGCTTCAGCCTCGTGGAAAGAAAAGGATCCAGGCCACATGTGTTATTACCAGCTTCTTTTACAGTCCACGTCCTAGAATCAGGGTCTCAGGTGTCCTCAAACATGCAGCCTGCCTAGGACATTTATCTGGCCTGCTGGGTGTTTTTGCCGCCGCTGCCTGTCCTGCTTAGCAGCCGACTGGTCCCAGGGCCTGCTGTCCGGCCCTCCAATGGTCTGAGGGGCAGTGAACTGGCCCCCTGTTTAAAAAGTTTGAGGGCCCCTCGTCTAAGCTTTTACTTTGTACTTGAGTAATACCTCCCTCTTTGAAGTGTGAAGAAATCTGGAATTTCACAGTCTCTGTCTTCACTCCTCTTCTGGAGAAGGTGC